TTCAACTTATTAGTTTTGGGATTAGAGTTTGTATAAAGTGCGGCAGTGTCTGATGTCTTTACTTCTTGGAGTAATTTATTCTTCACTAAGTCAGCACTGATCTTCATACCGGAACTTTCTAAACCCATAATCATGGGCTTGTATATTTCTGGCAACCCTGCCAGCATCAATGTGCCCAACCACTCATCGTCTACATGGAATTTTATATTCCTCAACTTGTGCGCGGCTGTCATTATTTTATTAACATAATCTTCAACTGACAAACTACTCTCCAAATTGGTATTAATCAGCTCCTTTAGCAAGCCAACTTTTCGAGTTAAGCCACTATCCTCAAAAGCTTTCGACAGATTATCCCATACCTGTTTTGCATTCTGAGCCTCTTGAATATGTACATATAAAATCGGGTCGATTAATAATATTATTTTTGACTTGGCTTTGATATCCTGTTTAACTGAGTTGGGGTCGGTAGTTACTGGTTCTTTCAAAATACAATTATACAAATCTTCATGTTGTAGGTAGGCTTTAATCGCAAAACTCCAACTCGCCCAATTATCACGACCCGTTAACTTCTCAATCGACATCAATGAATTAATACCAGTCATGTTTAGTTTGTTCAATATTTAGTCGGAAAATGGCTGAAAAAAGAAAGATCACTCGCAAGCCGGTAACAGACAATGACAGTTATACTCGCGATTTCATTTTTTCCATTTTCTTTTTATTATTGTTCAAAACGCAAAACTAATTTTAATCGACGTTTTATCCTGGGCCCATAACCTGTTAAATGAAATATAGGCCAATTTGGAGAATAAATTTAATATGAAAATATATATTACTTTATTCAATTACAACATGACAGAACACAAAAGACGACAAGACAAAAGTACCATAGATTAAACTATGAAGCGTCCAACCTTTCATCAGTAACATTCCCTTTTCAATCCTTGTCACTACATCGTCTTTCAATCCACACCTCTCTCTAATAACACAATTTTTCACTCGATCACTCAATTTTAGTCCACACATACTTCTCAGGGCTCTCATTTCCACCGCATTAATCCTGCTTTCATGCTTCTTCTGCCACACCCATGATTCACTACCATACATAAGCGTTGGTGTCAATACACACTGCATTACAGCAAGTCGAGCTTTGCTGGATATTATTTTATTCGACATTACAGAGTGTAAAGCACCATTAACACTATTTCCCGCTTTCACTCTCCTTTCAATATTACCGTCACACTTTCCATCTCTCGTAAATAGTGATCCCAGATACACAAATTCATTCACTTGTTCCAATTTTTCATCACCTATCATTACCTGATATTCTGTTATCACCTCATTTCTTTCTATCACCAACACTTTCGTCTTGTTCACATTTATTTTCATACCTTTCCTTTCAAATGCATCACTCATAGCAGTGACCATTTGTTGTAATTCTTGGGCCGACGAGGCAACAAGCACCTGGTCGTCGGCATACAACAATGTTTTAATCACTGTGTCATTCATCCTTAATCCAGGCTCTCCTACTTTCAGGTCGTTCAAACAACTGTCCATAAATAGGTTGAACAGCCAAGGAGATGCTACACAGCCTTGCCTAACACCGCGATTAATGTCAAACCACTCCGTGTAGTCCCCATTTATTCTGACACAGGCACTCGAGTCCTTATATAAGGATTTAAGTGCCCGAATCAGGTGGCTATCCACCCCATACATGGACAGAGTTGACCACAATTCATCCCTCACCACTCTGTCATAAGCCTTTTCTAGGTCTATAAAGGCACAAAATACCTTTTGGTGCTTTGATAACACTTTCTCTGAAATGCACCGTAACGAAAAGACTTGATCCGTACACCCCATTCCCTCTCGAAATCCCGCTTGCACATCCCAGATTTTACGCTCAGTTACATCCATCACTCTTTCGATCAATACCTTGGCATACAACTTTCCTACTACGCTTAGGAGGCTTATACGGCGATAATTTTTGCACTCCTGCTGTGATCCTTTTCCTTTATATAGTGGCACAATTACGGCCTTGGCCCAGTCTCCCGGGACACGACCGCACCGCCAACACTTATTAAAAAGTAGATACAGCAGGCTTGCAATTACACCTCCACCCTCTGTTAGCATTTCAGAAGTTATCCTATCACATCCCGCTGCTTTACCTACTTTCAAACTCTTAGTGGCACTCACAATTTCATCAATATTTATTTCTCCCACATTAGCACTTTCATTCTCATCGTTTACTTCCTCTTCTTTCAAATCACTCCTTTCAAATAAATTCTCGAAGTATTCCTTCCACTGCTTTAAAACATCCTTACTTTCTCCAATGACCCTCCCATTTATATCCCTTATCGTACTTACTTTCGAGTCCCCCACTTTGCCTCTGGCCCTTCTAACTAAATGCCAGAATAGTTTAGCGTTGGCTCGAAAGTTCTGCGAAAAATTCCTTTCAAACTTTTCCTTGCATTCATTTTTCTTCTTGCTAACTACCGCTTTTGCTCTCTTTTTGAGACTTACGTACTTTTCTTTCATACTTTCTAGCACTCTCCTATTTGCCTTTGAGGCTAATAAGTCAAGCCATGCTTTCTTCTTTTGCTCTATCACCTCTTTTACTTCATCATCCCACCATTCATTCCTTTTGCTTCCAGTGTTATTTTTCTTGCTTACCCCACATACTTGAGTAGCTACTGCGATCATATATTCCATTCGTCACCTTTCATTAGCTCCCTAAACCTTTCATTTAATAATTTCCTGTACTGGTCCCTAACTTCCTCTTCTCTCAACCGTTCAACTCTCACTCTCTCGGTTCCAGGCAACTTTACCCGTGGCCGATGTCTCCACTTCATTGTCAGTCCAGCTATTCTGGTAATTACTAGGAAGTGGTCGCTTCCGACATTCGTGCCACGGTAAACCCTTGTATCCTTCACTTTTGTCCTCAGGCGTTCATCAACAATCACAAAATCAATCATACTTCTTTCTGTATGCCTCTGCCATGTATGTATGTGTATCTTCTTGTGACCAAATGTTGTGTTGGTCACAACAAGTTCCTTTTCTACACATATATCCAGAAGACATACACCATTCTCGTTCACTCGTTCGTCTCCAAATCGCCCTAATACTCTATCGTACCCACCCATTCCATACAAAATTATTCATTAAAACCTTAATAGGTACCTAATTCACAATTTTGTGGACAGTTTTATCATCATGATATGAGCTTATGGCACCGACTTCTAACCTATCAGTGGGTGGCTAACCTATCAGTAGATACTAATAATAGTTATTTTTTGCTTTTTGGTTTTGACTTTTTGTTTGTTATTAGTTTTTGTTTTTTTTTGAAGTCGGTTTTTTAAACGCAGTTTTTATTTTATTATTTCATTATTTTCAGTGTAAAGCTATATATACCCGTTTTGTTATTCATAACATAGGTGCAAAGTTCTAATCAATACAAATTATACAAGCCCAAACACAAGGTAGTTACAGTATACCGTTGAGGAGTTCCCTTAACAATTACACTTCTTCATCATCAGACCTTCAATGACAGCCCCACTCTATCTAGGTGTAAAGTCCTCATCAATACAAATTAATCAAGCCCAAACACAAGGTAGTTAGTATAAACCGCTGAAGAGTTCCCTCGACTGTCTGTCGGCTCCATCATCAGGTCGACTCCAGACCCTTGTAGTATCCCTCAAATTGTAGTGTTTAAAATTCGTAATTGAAAAACATAATAGACGCATTACTCCCCCATAGAATTTTCGAAAGTTCCCCTCGGTTTCTCTAGGATCCCATCATCAGATCCTGACTTCATGGAAATGGGACCATCTCGGGAGTATACCCTTTCAAACAAAACAAAAATTTTCGAAATCGGTTCACAAACGGCGGAGTACTGCGCGAAGAAACAAAAAAAAAAAAAAAAAAAAACAATCAGCCGAACATAGTACCTCCTCCTTTTTTTGAAGTCGGTAAAAAGGCAATCCTCAGTCCGCTTTCTGCCTACGCACGGGGAGACAAAACGTGACGTGTGGCAGAGCACGTCGCCGTCGTGAATTTCGCAGAGACAGAGTTAAATGGAGAAAACTGGGGGAGGCCTACGCCACTGAGGCGACTTCCACAAACTAATTAGTAACTTTACTGGGAATTTATTTGATTTTATTTAGTGATATATTAATCGATATGTATCGTAATAATTTAATGAAACAATAATATTGATTTGATTGCATGAGATATTGTGGTAGAATAAAGGCTATTTTTATTTTATTTTATTTTTATGTGGCTCACTCTCTCACTTGCCATAACGAATTTAATTTTTTTAAATATAAAAATGTCTTCTGTGTTCAAAATCGACGAAGGAAACCTACTTAATAGGTATTTCTGAAGTGATTTTTAAATGTTCAATACAGCGAATGGGCTATTTGGTCATGGTTTGGTGTCTCACAATAGTTATAATATATTGTTTCTAAAATTGTAACGGTCGAAATTAACCTCTGGATCGATCTAGGTTGATACAATTAAAATGTCAAAAATAGTTTTTGAGTAATCAGAGGTCTTGTATTGAGATTGGTTAAATATTAATTTCGAAAGCGAAACGACATGACACAGACGTGAGCTTGTCTATGAATATGATTTAGCACTTCATAAGAGCGCGTCCACATCTGGCGAATACGCCGCGAATCACCGCGAATGTGCAGCTCGCAAGCTGCGCGCGTTACGGCAATGGTTTAGTGATTAGTGCTCAACGCATACAAGTTTTTTCTGTAATCAAGCTGTAATCTAATTTTTAAAAAGAGGTTGTGAGTACAAGGCCGGACTTGGCCAAGAATGACAAGACATTTACTTATACTTTTTTACTTTTCTTCACCTTCGTGGAGTAAGTAAAATAAGCAACACACCACAAATTAATAATAAAAAATGACACGATACAAACTTTATTTACAAATATTATACAATAAGGCAAGGCAAAGGTACAAGGCACTTATTACAAAATCATAGATGAGATCCTTAAATTTTAAATACTGAAATTCTCCTCCAGTCTTCTCAAATGATCAACATTAGACTCTTGCGGTGGGCTGCTGTGACTTAAAATATTATTTTTGTAAACATCCATGCTTCTTTGAGCCATATTATTGTAAACTTCTCGCGGCAAAATTCGATTTTGGGCGGGAATTTTGACATTGACGTTTCCTGACAAACTTACTCCGCGGTCCATGAAGACTCTGTCGTTCGGATACACACTGGGGTTAAGAAATGGAACATCGGGTTTTGGTAAAGTGCGAAACATGTTTGTTCGGTCGATTATTTGATTTTGCGCGTTCATTGTGTTAAGAGATTTTATCCATTGCTGTTGTTGTGTCGGGGGGACTCTGTTTGGGTAGTTGAAGATCCAGAGACGGTCTCCGACAAACATTGGTCGAGGGCTGACGATTCCAAGGCTGCTGTAATACTGCTGCGCAAGAAGTTCGATGTCGTTTGTGTATTTTCGCTTCCATTTTGTTCGACGGTTTTGGAACCATATCTTTATCTGGAAAGAGAAATAAAATGTTGTAAAATATTTAATTAGTACCTCTATGCAAGTAATGCTGGATTTTCTCTTCAGATTTAAAAAATAAATAAATAGACTGTCTCGTTGGCCGAGTGCTCGCAAGTGCGACTGCAAGGGCAAGGCAAGTATTACTGGGATTTAAAAAAAATCTGTAGTAGTACGGAGCCTGAAATTGTGTCCGGTGTATGGCAATAGACTTACCCCTTATTACATGGGACTCTAGCATAACATAATTAGTGATAAGTGAGTGTTACATTGTACAGTGGGATTAAGTGTCGTAATGTGCACCTCTGCCTACCCTTTCGGGGATAAAAGGCGCGATGTTATATGTTATGTTATTCTAAAAATACAGTCACGTACGAGATATCTTTAATGTTTGTGTTTTGTTACTCGTCATATTAATAATTTTTTACTATTTAAAAAAAAAACTGCCCCTCATTACGATTTTCTCCTATATGGCGGGTGCGTTTACAAACATACAAGTTCACATACACATGATACCCAGACCAGAAACAACAATTTGTGGATCACACAAAGAGTTGCTCCGTGCGCGAATCGAACCCGCTACACGCGGCAGCCGGTTGCCCAGTGATCGTACCAACCATGCCGTCAATTGTTCTCGGGGTGTAACTATGGCATTTGGTTAACTGTAAATATTAGTTATTCATATCCTTCAAAGATAGCTGTTGAAAAATAAGTGTTACATTGCATCCTTGCCTATCCCTTTGTGGATTAAAAGTATAACCTTAGCTATGTATTTATTAATTTATTTAAAGTCATATAACATTACAGTCAATAAACCAAGGCGTTATACATTTCAAATACACTTGTAATTATAAAGAAACGGAGAAAAAGACAAGTCCAATTGTAAAGATGTGTGTCTGGGCTCGCTGTTATTGCAGCGGTAAGTCCTCTCTTTGAAAAGTGGCTTGAGAGACGCTACGGCGTCGTCACCTACCGCCTGACGCAGGTACTTACCTAACCCAAGGCGAGTCATTGGATAATTTTCCCCCCTCAAAAAAAAGCTATATATATCTGCTAACCTGTGTCTCAGTAAGTCTGAGCTGCCTGGCCAGTCTGCCTCGTGCCGCCACGGACAGGTAGCGGTTTTTCTCAAACTCTGCTTCCAAACTCTTGATCTGCTGCGCACTGAATGCTGTCCGCGCTCTCTTTCCGCGGGATGAGCATGATCCTGAGAAAGAAAGAAATTTAATCATCATCTTGTAAAAATATAGAAAAAAAGAAATTTTAAAAGTGGGACGCTTTTAAGGCAGTTAGCCGTAGTTTACTCGTCTAGGTTTAACCAAATGTTCGCGCGGCACATCAATTTGCCAACTATAATAGGTGCATTGCCAGTGTTGACGAAGTGACGAGTGATTAGTGACAGTTGTGAATCGTTATCTATTAACTGCAGATTGATTGCAGATGCTCTCATACAAGCCAAGTATTTAAAGTCCAGTGCTATTGGCAAGAGCCAAGGTAATTTTTTACAGAAATGTAACCCTACACTAGGAGTTTCCGCTGTATCGTGAGTGCGCTTACAAAAATACGAACACATCGCATTCAGATGCAGAACAACTATAGGGGCGTTGCCATGGTATGAAAATTAAAAATGTAATAAGTCCGGCGGTTAGATAATGAAAAAATATTAGACACATATTTTTTTATTTTGTCGTAAGTATAAAGTTACAATACTTAGATACAATGAAGTTAAGTTTAGGAGTGGGGGGTAGTTACATCACGCGTGCTTACGATTTTTAAATTAATATATCGTCGAAGGTATTTAATTTTATGAGGAAAGAAAAATACGTGTCAAATATTTTAAATTAATCTACCAGACGGACATTAAAATAAAATTTAGAAAACTACACTATTTGTGGATCAAATAAATTATTAATTAACCGTGTTTGAACCAAACCCACGAAACACTGCGGAGTAGCAGCCAATGCGCCAGTCGTGCAGACAAAATGCATGATATTTTTTTATTACTATTTCGACTGTAACTTAAGGTTCTTAAAGGACTAATAATACAAATTAAATAATGTTTAAGTCTTTAACTGCTGAATGGAAACTGTTGAAAGTGTTAAAGGCGAAGAATATTTTCCTTTAACTCCGGTCGCCGGTGATCGAGCTGGCAGCTAATGCGTGATACAATCTTAATTGTTATTTACAGTCATGGAAAGACAACAGAACCTAAAATATAATGACTTTTTTAAACTAATTGTGGTACACTTAATTTGCTACGGAAGTCATTTTGAGCGGACATGGAGATCGAAGCAGACACGTCTTGTCGTCACCTTACAGTTATTTTCAATAAACACCTCCTCGCTTTGAGTAATTAGCGGTAATATATCAACATGTCAAACAGCGACACGCCGCCATCTTGGAATTGAGAGAACCGAGCGCCACACTAAATATCCGAACGCACTAATGAGCGCGCCAAAATAAACGTCATCTTTTTATTAGTTTTTTTTTAGTAATGCTATGACTTCATAAACTGTGCAGCCAATTTAATTAAATGGTAGAGTAATGTGATATTTATCTCTCAATTTTACCTGTTCAGCGTTTGTTAAGTGGTCGCAATGGAGTCCACTGAGCAATTATGGAATATGGATTTTGAGGACCAGATTTATGGAATATGGATTTTGAGCAATTTATTAGGTACCTTTTTTTAGTTTTCGCTCCAGTTGGATTTGCTCCATAAATTAAAGTTCGACTACACTACTACAGGTTAGGATTGTGCTGGGGACATATCGTCTGTAATCGATGTATTAGAGGAAAGTCTTCTTTGTAATTTTTAGCCCGGGTTTTTGCGTAACTGCAATTCTGAAGAAAACTCTAGTCAGTGGCAACGATTAAAAAAGTATTGCATGACGCGGGAAAAAGCCTATAATTTTGTAAATAACAGAATTTATCAAAAACCCGGGACAGGCCACTGCTGGACTACGAACGTCCTCTACATAAATAGGTAATGTTGTTTAATGTTTCTTAATGCTTAGCTGACGGATTGGAGAACGCACGTTAAATGTTTTAGATTTATCAGAAAGCGCTGCTAATTGTTTATTTATTTTTATTTATTATTTAACTTTATGCAACAAGAGTACGTAGGCGGGCTTAATGCCATGGGCCTTCTTACGAGCCAACCTTTAGGTGATGCAGTGAGAGCGTGCTCGGTGTAATAAGTTGACAACTTAAGAGTATCTAATATCTACATCTACACTAATATTATAAAGAGGAAAGATTTGTACCTATTTTTGTATGTTTGTAATGAATAGGCTCAAAAAGTACTGGGCCGATTTAAAAAATTCTATCACCAATAGAATGCTACATTCTTCCAATTTGACACAGGCTACATTTCATATTGAAAAAAATTAGGGATCCTTGGTAAAATTTGAACAATGTAACCGAAGGTGTAGAAAAATGAGTCTTAAAATGTCTTTCTTCGAATGCGCTGCCGAAACTATTAACGATAAAACAAAATAATGTACAACAATATTGAAGAACATCATAATGTCTACAAAAAACTCCGCGGTAGCATATGTCCAACTATTGTAGTTATGTCACTACAACAATCCAAATTTCCAAAAATAAATAATTGTCTACCCCGTGCGAAGCCGGGACGGGCCGTTAGTAGTTTATAAAATGACGGAATACATACAGGGTGTCTCACGGCAGAGTTAGGATTTTGAAATGAAATACAAGTCAATTTGCATATTTTTTGAAAAGATTTTTATTGAAAACTATTGAATTATAATGCGCATTTTTTATTTATTTAATAATTTATACACACAGACAGCACAGAGGATAACACATATATAAAATAAGAGTACAAAGGTGCTACTTATTCCTGTTGGAATTTCTTCCAGTAGACCTGAGACAGGAAATCTAATTAAAACAAAAGACACAGTGTGTAACAGAAAAATAAGAAATATGTATAAAAAAGACTAAAGCTAAATGATAATTAAATAAATATAGTATAAATAAATATAGTATAAATATAAATACTTAATATATAATAATAACAATAAATAAAATACACACATAGAAATAAAAAAAAGTATCAGTACTCATGAAGAAAGGTAATGGTCCTGAATTAGTTTTTTAAAGAGAGCGATAGATTTAGCGTCTCGAATGTTAGGCGGCAGAGAATTCTAGTCTCACAGCATAAACGGTGAAGGAATAGGAGAAGAAGTCGGTATTATGAGGCACAATTTTAAGATTGGACTCAAGATGAGAACGGGTAAGGACTTCAGGAGAACGAACCAAGGAGAAACGGTCACGGAGGTACGCAGGATAAGTTGGATTGAAGAGGGTATTATAGAGGAGACATAAAATGCAAGTGTTCCTGCGAAGACGGATAGGGAGCCACTTGAGCCTATTGCGAAATTCGGAGACATGATCATATTTCTTAAGACCGAATACAAAGCGGATACATTGATTTTGCAATCGCTCAAGTTTATTTAATAGCTCCTCATTTAATATATTTATTAAATAGCGCATTTTTTTTAAAGATTATCCTTCCAGATGTCTTCCATTTCGTAGCACGCACTCACGGAATCGATTCATCGCATTTTGCATAACGCGCCTAAGTATAGCACGTAAACTTTACTCTTAAGGTACCCCCATAGGAAAAAGTCCATGGGGGTCAAATCTGGTGATCGCGGAGGCCACGCAATATCACCAAAGCGGGATATCAATTTTTGAGGAAACAATTCACGAAGTTGGTCCGTATTGGCTCTTGCAGTGTGCCACACTGCAAGAGCCACTACATCCTGCTGAAACCACGTTCTTGAGCTGTAGGCTGGATGCTCTCGAAGTTGGGGTATAAAATAATTGGATATCATTTGCCGATAAGCCTCACCAGAAATAGTTATCGCAGCACCTGTCGCATTTTTAAAAAAGTACGGCCCGATTATTCAATTGACCGAAAGGGTACACCACACTGTCACTTTTGGGCTATGCAGCGGTCTTTGATGTTT